TTCTTTTCTGATCCTGCCTGTTGGTGTTCTGAAAACCTCCTGTAGCTGTATCTACGCCTCTTTATCAATACTAGAGAAGTTTTCAGCTTTATGTTACCAAATAAACGATCTGTGCATTTAGTTTGTATCTGTTCTCCTTTTTCTATGCCCGTGATTTGTAGGTTTGGTCTTTTGGTGTTCTGAAAACCTCCTGTAGCTGTATCTACGCCTCTTTATCAATACTAGAGAAGTTTTCAGCTTTATGTTACCAAATAAACGATCTGTGCATTTAGTTTGTATCTGTTCTCCTTTTCTATGCCCGTGATTTGTAGGTTTGGTCTTTTGGTGTTCTGAAAACCTCCTGTAGCTGTATCTACGCCTCTTTATCAATACTAGAGAAGTTTTCAGCTTTATGTTACCAAATAAACGATCTGTGCATTTAGTTTGTATCTGTTCTCCTTTTTCTATGCCCGTGATTTGTAGGTTTGGTCTTTTGGTGGTAGCCCAGAGGTCTTCCATGTACCATTCATATTTTCCTATAATTTTTTTCATTTTCTCTGATCAGTCTAATTGCTCTACTTTATCTTCCATCTGTGGTGTTCTGTTTTCAACCTGTTCCACTCTGTTAGCTAGACTCTCCAGTGACATTTTTATTTGGGATATTGATCTTTTCTTTTCCAATATGTCAGTTTTGATATTCATGATTTCTGCATCTTTATGGAATTTCTCTTTCATGTACTACATTCTTTTCTTTATTTAATTCATCTGTTTATTTCAACTCTCTTTGAGTTTAGTTAGATGTTTATTTGTATCTTCTTTGAATTCATTCAGTTGCTTATATATCTTCTCTTTGGATTTATTAATCACTCTTGTCATTTTTTAATTCATCTATATTTCTTCCTCTTCACTGTTGTTTAAATCCTTTAACTGGGAAGTTGTTGGCTTTTGTGAGAGATCTGTTGCCTTGTTCTTTCATGTTTCTACATTGGGATTTATACATCTGGGGTAGTTTTGGGTTGGAGGCTCCAAACCCCTGTGTCTGTTTATTTTATTGTTTTAAATTCATTCATTCATATGTGCATACATTGTTTGAGCCATTTCTCCCCCTGACCCCCATCCCTTTCCTCTCCACCCCACCCCCCCAGCTTCTAGGAAGAACCTGTTCTGCCCTTTTCTTCAATTTTGTTGAAGAGAAGACATAAGCAGTAATAAGAAAGATATAACATTTTTGCTAGTTGATATAAGAATAACTGTACAGAGAGATTCCTAGCATTGCTTCCATGCACAAGTGTATTACAACCTGAATTGATTCATCTCTACCGACCTCTTCACTACTACCCAGTCACCTTCCCATATTGACCTTTGTCGTTTTAAGGTTACTGTTTTAGCTCCTCTGCAGTGGGGACATCAAACACTTTCAAGTTTTGGGTTTCCTACTTATCCCCATTCCTCCCATATGTGCTCTCCCCTTCTCATGTGACCAAAGTCCAACAACATTGCTGCATTTGCCCTAGATCTAAAGATTGCATATGAAGGAGAACATACGATTTTTGGTCTTCTGAGCCTGGCTAACCTCTCTCAGAATGATGTTCTCCAGTTCCATCCATTTACTTGAGAATGATAAGATTTCATTCTTCTTCATGCTGAGTAAAATTCTATTGTATACAAATACCACATTTTCTTAATCCATTCATCAGTAGTGGGGCATCTTGGCTGTTTCCATAACTTGGCTATTGTGAATAGTGCTGCAATAAACATGGGTGTGCAAGTGCCTCTGGAGTAACCTGAGTCACATTCCTTTGGGTATATCCCTAGGAGTAGGATTGCTGGCTCATATGGCAGGTCTATGTTTAGACTTTTAAGAAGCCTCCATATTGTTTTCCAGAGTGGTTGCCCTAGCTTGCATTCCCACCAGCAGTTTACGAGCGTTCCTTTTTCCCCACATCCTCGCCAACACCTGTTGTTGGTGCTGTTTTTGATGATAGCTATTCTAACAAGGGTGAGGTGGAATCTTGGTATGGTTTTGATTTGCATTTCCTTTATGGCCAGAGATAGCGAGCATTTTTTCATGTGTTTTTTGGACATTTGAATTTCTTCTTTTGAGAGAGCTCTGTTTAGTTCAGTTGCCTATTTCTTTATTGATTCATTGATTTTAGGGAGAGTTTAGTCATCACAGAGATTGAAAAATGTACCCTACATTTCATTTGGAAACACAAGAGACCTTGAATAGCCAAGTCAATACTCAGCAAAAACAGCAATGCTGGAGGTATCACAATACCCAACTTCAAACTATATTACAAGGCAGTAGCAATAAAAACAGCATGGTACTGGCACAAAAGCAGAGATAAAGACCAATGGAACAGAATAGAGGAGGACCCAGATATGAATCCACACAGCTATGCCCACATTATTTTTGACAAAGGCGCCAAAAACATATGATGGAGAAAAGACAGCCTCTTCAACAAATGTTGCTTGGAAAAGTGGTTATCTGCCTGCAAAAATCTGAAATTAGATCCACGTTTATCACCCTGTACTAGTATCAACTCAAAATGGATCAAGAACCTTAATATCAGACTTGAAACTCTGAAGTTAGTACAGGAAAGAGCAGGGAATACTCTGGAAGCAATAGGTATAGGCAAAGACTTCCTCAATAGAGCCCCAGCAGCTAAGCAACTAAGAGAAAGGATGAGCAAATGGGACTACATAAAATTAAAAAGCTTCTGCACAACAAAAGAATTGGTCTCTAAACTGAAGAGACCACCCACAGTGTGGGAGAAAATGTTTGCCAGCTATACATCAAACAAAGGACTGATAACCAGAATATACAGGGAACCCTGTGTTTCTTTAGTTGAGGATTTCTCAAAGATTATTTATGACTGAGTAGTGGCTAGGTTGTGGTATTTTTTGTCTCTAGATTGGGGAGTGTTGCTCTGTAGTCAAACACTCAGCTTTAGTTCTTAAAATGCTAGGTACTGCCCCCTACTCCACACAACTAGAGGGAGCTTAGCTGCTAAAGCTACCACAGTTAAGCCACAGCCTTGTGATTACAGCAATCCCCAAGGAAGATCAATTGCTGCTTCTTGCTTCAGTATGTATAGAGAATATAAGCAAAGATGAATCTTCACGCTCTTGGAAGACCCAAAGTAATAAGGGTAGTAATGGGAAGGAGATGGGGGCATAATTCTAATGGATAGCGCAGGTATATAATTTTACAAGGCAGAAAGGTGTAACTGCTATGCTTAATAGAAGGGGTTGGTGAGAAAGCGGAGTGGAGTAAGTAGAAGAGATCTAGTTAATTCTGTGTTGAGGGAGACAAGAGGAAGAGAAATGGAGAAAATTGAGCAGACAGACAAGCAAACATATAGAAAGACTATCTGGCAGTCTGCTTACCTGCTGAAAGCATATGTAACAAAGGAGGATTACGTGTGGATTAACAGAAGAAAATATGAGGTACAGAGTAGTTCTAGTTGTGGACAGGAGGAAAGTATAAGTGGGAACGGGCAATAGAAGGAAGAAGAAATGTTTTAAGATTGAATACTGAAAGGCAGGTCTCCTGGCTCTCAAATGATGAGTGCAGGGAAAAGGAAGGAGAGGGGAGCAGAACTAAAGAGAAAATGGGAGAGAGTGCAAAATTGCCCAACTCAGATGTACAGTTCCCCTCTCCCAAGCCCCTACTACTCACAGTCTTGTAATCTGTGCTCAGTCCTTTGTGAGATGTCTGCTCTGTGGTACACCTCTGCAGTGGGACAAGAAGCCAGCATGCCGCTCCTAACAAAGATGCACATGGCTGCCATTTCTTAGATGGAGCTGTGGCTGGCAGCAGAGCCCAGCTAGACCTAAGGACTCTGTCCTTTGTGTTGGGTGGGGACTTTTATATTTGGATGGGTTCACTTCCTCTGATCACTTTCCCTGCCATATTAGAAACTGTGCACTGAACTCTCCACTGTTTCTGCACTGGATGCCACATTTGCTTTTCCATTAACATCCTGTGCCAGGCGGCTTCTTTGCTCCAGGCTGCAGACCTTGGCTGCTCACAGCGGCCAGCCTGCCTGCCTCCACTTCCATGTGCTTTCCCCTCTGGCCTCCAACCCTTCTTCTCCCAGCCATGTAGATCCTTATTGGTGTTTATCAACTAGCCCTGAGTTGTTATGTTTTTAAACTCTTTCATCTCCAGTACTGGCCTTCTCAGTGTTTATGCAGGCAATCAGTTTTGATAAACGGTACTCCATAGGATGTGTCTGTGAGGAAGAATCCCTGCTGCAGTCCTCTGTTGCCCTCCTGCTGCAGACTCCCCCAAACTTGAACTTGTGCTTTGTTGTTGTTATTACCATTCCTGCTAGCTCTCTATTTCCATTTACTGTGTCTTTTTCCATTCCTGATTTTCCTTTTAAAAATCTCACTGTCTTAAGTGTGTTTTTGCATTTGTTATGCATGTACAGCATATATAATATCTTCAGTCTCATAATTATTTGGCTACTGTATATATGTAATAAGAATCTAAAGTTAGTCATTGTGTCTGTCTTATTCCCAAATAATACAAAGGTCTTAAAACTCTTTAACTCCATATTGCTTTTGCATTATTTGTTTGGCAGAAGTGACCATCCAAAGAATTTTCATTTGTCTTTAGAAATGAGCATTATAGTTGCGACTGTGATTAAAATGGTTTTGAGTTTGTGTTTTGTTTTCATATGGTTATCTACATACTTAACGTTTTCTAGATACTATTGAAGAAATTTCTCTTGGCAGGAAAATGAACTTGGGATTCTGATCTTCTTCTCTGTTTTAATGACTTAAAGTTTTCTTTGCGTATTACCATATAATTTCACCAGCAGGGTGTAACATACAGGAGAGAATGTTCTTCAAAAGAAATATAGATATTAAATGTAGAATTCTTATGGACTGAGTTTCTTGCTTTTTAAAAAATTCACATTTTGAGGATTTAGAGAGAAAGAATTTCATCTTTGTGTTGAACTACATTTTAAATTTATGTGGTTTATCATATTCACTTTTTCTTTATTTAGGTAAAATACTTATTTTCTGATAAAACAGGAACCCTTACTTGCAACATTATGACCTTTAAGAAATGTACTATTGCAGGCATAATTTATGGGTAAGTGTTTTTATTGCCATACTCTTTCATAAATTCTTTTCTTATAATGAATTGGCTTTTGTTTACTTCAAGAGTTAGCTGAATTTCTAAGACTTTAGCTGTCTCTGAGTGAGACTGAAATAGAATACAACCTAAATGAAACCATCAAATGTTAAAACATGGTTTTAACTGCGTTTATATACAATTACAACATAGTCTTGCAGCACTTATATTTCTTCCCTCAGTATCACTTAGATACCAGTGATATTGGGGCAAAAACCTTCAGGTATAGACAGTTTTCCTTTCCACTTTACTTGTGTTCCTTTCCCCTGCAACCAACTTTTATGAGCGCTGGAGTTCAGACATGCCACACCTTCCTTTTGTCCATACCTTAAATAGAGCTCTCGGGACTCTCCCCTGGACTGACCTTCACTACATGGCATTCAAAACTATGATGGCTTTGTAGTTACTTTGACTCATGTTGCTTAAAACTATAGGTTGTATCTCTTATCTGAAATGCTTCAGACCTGAAATGTTTCAGATTTTAGATTTTTGTCAATATTTGTTTATACATAATGAAATTTCTTTCAGTTTGTACACATAGCTGGTAAGTAATTTTATATCATTTTAGAGTTTAATCACTTAATAAATGTACATATTTATGGTATACAATGTGGTATTTTGATTCATGTATCCTATATGTAATGATCAAATTAGAGTAATTAACATATTCATCACTTCAAAGACTTACTGTTTCTTTGTAGCAAAACCATTCAAAATCCTCTCATGGCTATGTTGAAATAAATTATTGTTGGCTGTAGTCACTATACTGTTCTGTAGGATAGTAGAACTTACTCCTCATAACTATATTTTTATACAGTATCTTTGATTATTTTGTACATGAAGAAATAGTGTGGGTTTTTCTATTTGTAGCATCATGGTAATGTTCAGAATGTGTGCGTTTTGGAGCATTTTAGATTTCAGGTTTTTGGATTAGGAAAGCTCAATCTGTGTACAGTTTTCAATATAAGCTTAGCATTTTGTAATGTCATTTTACAGTTCAAGGCCTGGGAGTATGTGTAATTTGACAGAACATTTAAACAATTACTATAGCTCTGAAGTTGTTATCTGAAAACAAGATGGGGCAGTGTCTATTCTTTAGATTCTTTTGACTATTGACAGGGCACTATCAGGAGCTTCTTGTCAAAGTAATTTTCTCTGTTCTTCCTTATAGTCACACACCTTCTGCCCATGAATTTAATGACCCCATGTTATTGGAGAACTTTGAGAATGGCCATGTAAGTCTGTTATTTTCTCTTTAAATTGTTGCAATTATGCTATATAACTTTAAAATATATATCTGCTTACTAAATGTACAATTTTTGAAGAGAGAGATTCTTGAAAAAAGAAATTCTATTTTCTCTGTGATGTTTTAATCAAAATTTTTGGTACAAAAGGCATTTTGTACTGATATTATAAGTTAAACACTGACCTTATTAGTGTAAGTGGGTTTAAACATTGTAGAAGACCTTTTACTATGAGGTAATTTACATTAAAAACATCTATCTGCTTTTCAATGATTTGGTTTTATTGTATTACATGCCATCCATACCTTCACTTATTCCAACATACTGATCTAATTGATTTGAAATCTCAAGTGTCTCAAAAATCAAAGTGATCTTTTAAAGCATACAACAATACATTTCTTTTCTTTTTAAAATCCTGAGGAGCTGGGCATGACGGTACATACCTATAATTCCCGTACTCCATACACTGAGGCAGAAGGATTGGAAGTTGGGGGCCAGCCTGGGCTACATGACAAGTTCCAGGCCAGCCTGGTTAATACAGTGAGTCCCTGTCTTAAAAGCCAAAAACACTTTTTGAGATGTGGCACTACACTTAAAACCTGAAGTCATTACATCGGATTTCTTTTCAACCTCATTCTTTGTTTTCCTTTTGCTCAAGATGCTAAAGTCACTCTTGTCTAGAAACCCCATGAACACGAAAAGCTATAAAGCCCTAGCCTTTGAGTGTATTATTCTCTGTGTTAAACACCATCACCAACAACTATAAAGCAGCTGAATTAATCTTAATTTAAATATCATGTCCTTAAGTGTTATTCCCTGACCAACTATCTATAGAAGGCCCCTCTTTTCTCTGACAAGCCCCTTCCTCCAGTTTTGGAACTCCTGTCTCCCCAAGGAGGAGTGAAGTTCCAAAATAGCAAGGCCATTTGTTCCCTGAGGTCTCCCCATTCTGTTCATTAGCCACCCCACAGACACATTTTGAATGTGTGATATGTTTCATGGCTAGTACTTGATTTTATGTTCCTGAGGTCAAACTTCAGTTGGTACAAATTGTAGAACACATATAATTCTTCACATTGCCAGCATTGGAAAAGACTCACTCCTCTGTGCCTTTTTCTAGCCCACCGGAGAATACATAAAGGAATTTCTTACCCTATTATGTGTGTGCCACACAGTTATTCCTGAGAGACATGGAAATAATATAATCTACCAAGCTTCCTCCCCAGGTAGGTGTTATGTGTAGGGAAAGCATACAGCTCATACCTGGCAGGTGATGAGGCCTCAGAAGAGATTAATGCTGCCGCCCATCAACTCTGTTGCTCCTGCCTTTCTCCTTCCCTGGAGTTCTCACAGGTCACAGCACCCAGAGCAGAGCAGTTCTGTGCTGCTATCCATGTCTAGGGCTCCTTATCCCCTATCCCAAAGATGTCATAACGATGCTGGAGAAGATGTCAGAACTTAGGCCCTGTGGTATATTTGGTTATAAGTAGTAATAAATAGTGGTAAAGTTAAGGCCCTGCAAGATTTTATGGAAATGCTACTAATAATGGCACTGAGAATAGACAAGATCATTATGAGTAGTAGTACTGTCAGCTTGGTGAATTCATTTACCCCAACTGAAAGAAACCCTCTTTAACCAAATTGCCTCTTTCATGAGCACTGTGGTACCTAGAAGGACAGATAAGTGCACTTGGATAAAAAAAGTCAAAGTAAAAAACTGTTATTATATTCTAGTGCTGGAGAGTGAAAATCTGTATTAAGTTAAATTTGGTGTTAATATATTTACTTAACTCTATTAATGCAGACTATTTATTGACAGATGAAGCAGCTTTAGTGAAAGGAGCAAAAAACCTTGGTTTTGTTTTTACAGCAAGAACACCATACTCTGTCACCATAGAAGTGGTGAGTAGGACACTGAATACTTTTCAATGTTTTACATGTTCCTGCTTTTTTCAGAGAGGGACAGTGAATAGTGCTTCAGAATAGGAGCCCTGAAGCACCTGGGATTTCCTCCTGGACCCACCCATTCCCAGCCATTATTCTTGGGCCTTCCTGCACTTCTCATGTTTGTCTCAGTTTTACCATTGTGTGTACCATATGGTCCTTTGGAGGATTAGTTGAGTTAACACACACACACACACACACACACACACAACACACATTTAAAGTAATTGGAATAAGTGTCTATCACATAGAAAGTACACAATTCAAGTGAGCTCTTCCAAAGAGTTAAAATCATCAGATCTTCAACAAATATATTGTTTTTCCTGTGAGGAATTACATGATTCAAACTTTTTTTGTGAATTGTTATTAATAGTGATTTTTCATTTTATTTTATCTCTTTTCTTTTTCTGTTTTGATGACCACTCATCACACATCTTTGATGTTATGTGGGAAAAGCTGAAGCAATAGGAACATGGTATCCAACATGTTGGTTTTTCTGATAATAATGTGATGGTCAGGAATATTTACTAGACATTGAGTAGTTGGAGAAGGTGCTGAGTAAATCACTTTTGTATCCATGGTACCTGACACATTGGACAACTCTGAAATAACTTGAAATTCTGCGGTGCCAGATTGATGATGCTGGGATTTGATAGATTCAGAGATAAATTCATATTGGCTACAGGAAGCCTAGAGGCTATAACTGGAAAATTTAGGAAAAAAATCATCGTTGCTGTAAAACTTTATATATATATATATGTAGCATGACACCTCTTACCATAATGTATCTCTTCAAATTATCTAAGTAGTAAGGATTTCATTTAATATGTTCCATTTAATGAAGAGTTTGTTTTTACATTACTGTTGATTGTCTCATTTAAATTTAGCAAATGTCACCTGAAAGTATGTATCAAATATTTCTAATAGTGTTAATTTTACATTGAAAAGAGAGGCTTCTTTGTCCTACATAGGTTTGGTAGATACGTGCTATTAATACTGCTAAAGTTGCAAGGAAGGATCTTACCAGAGGAGGGTGCTGCCAAGTCATCAGATTTGCAAGAAATGTATATTTTGAAAAAACTGATGTGTATTTGGAGGGAAAAACTTCGTCTTGACTGGGGGAGTGAATTATTTTGTGAGATGAAAACTTTCTTCCTTAGATGAGAATGTGTTGTTTTATCTTCCTTTAGATGGGAGAAAAATATACTTTTGAAATTCTTAACATCCTGGAATTTTCTAGGTAAGCTACCACCTCATATAATTCACATATTTCCAAGGACTCCTTCCACAGTTACTCCATTTGAGATCTGGCAACATAAATCAAAACTTCAGTACTATAAAACTTTCAGCCATGAAAGTCTAGCTAGCCTCTGCCTTGAAATCTGTTCAGCTCCAAGTTTTTTAGAGAATGCTTTAGGCCAAACCCCCCTTTGTCAATTTCTTAAGGTGCAATCTCTCTCTCTCCCTTCCTTTCTTCTTTCCTTCCCTTCCCTTCCTTCTTTCCTTTTCTCCTTTTCTTTTTTTGGTGGTAGTGGGATCTGAGCTCTTGCTAGGCAGGTGCTCTACCACTTGACTCACTCTACCACCCCAACATACCTCTTCTTTATAGCATGTGTCAAGGTCATAACTGTATTTAGAATCTGCTATTATTTAACTATCCCACCACCTAGGCTGGAAACCCCCAAGGGCAGGATCTCACAGAGTCTGGGATCCAGGACAAATATTGTGAATTATTTTCACAGAAAAATAAACCCCAAACTGTTTGTTTACTTTACTTTAAAAAAGTAGTCAGTGGGTCTTTTGTTCTGTCAGCTGTGTTTGACTCCCCACTGCACATGGTAGGGTGTGGATGGGGTTACTAATTTCATTGCACTTAACTTAGAACTCATGAAATCACATCTCTTAAACCATTTGAGCATTTCTCATGTGGAATCTAAAAACTGAAGAAAGGGGGCTGGAGGTGTGACTCAAGAAGTAGAATGCCTGCCTAGCAAACACAAAACCCTGAGTTCAAACTTCATTTACCCTCCCCCCCAAAAAAAAAACCCTTAGGAAAAGAAATGATGGCTTCTTCCCAACACTGGATGATTTTTTAAATCATATTTTTAAGACCTTGTTTCTTAATGACATTTTCTTTAAAAAATTTAGAGTTTTGAGATTTGGGAAAAGTCTTTGTTATCACCCCCCACATACACCCAGGAAAACTTTCTCTGAAATCTTTGTTATAGAAAAAAAATATAAGTCACTGAGTGTGACTCAGTGGCAGAGTGCTTGCCTAGCATGCATGAGCTCCCGGGTTCTATCCCTGGTACTGCAAAAACAAACGAACAAACAAAAAAAACCAAATGTGCACTCATAACTAGTTGCCACATAAATGACTTAATTGTTGTAAGTAGTGCTCTCACAGCTTTCTAAGCAGTAAGGATAATTGCTAGTCCTTTGTCCTTTATTAAAAAGTCCACTGCTCTCAACTGCTCTTTTGAGGACTACACTCACAGAGCATCCTTAAGACAGGAGCTTTGACTTAGAGCTTGGGGACAGATAAAGCCTGTGTTTTTCTGTGTGTTAGTAGCAGAATATGCAATGTCATGGCCATATTTACTGGGGTCAGCTAGAGGAGGAAGAAAGAGACATAACTAGCATAGAGATGTGTAAATAGGAGGCATGAGAAGGATAAAAAGATTTTGCCTAGGAAATGTAGGGGAGGAAAGCATCATTTGTGGGCAACACTGTGATTCTGTCACTATGTCCTGTTTTTCCTAGTTGTTTAACTTCTCTGTGCCTTGGTTTCTTGATTCATAAAATGGAAATAATACTAGTATCCTCCTCAAGTATTGATGTGAGGATAAGTAATGCTCAGTATTCATGATCTAAACATTGATGTACCACTTACTGTGTTTATTGATATTGCTATTATTATAATTAGAACACTGTTCTCTGATCCACATCTGGATTTTACTAGCCTTCCTTCTAACCTTAAAGGAGATGTTTTTTCTTTCCTCCAGGAATCATTTCTATGAATCTGTTTCTCTTAGATGTTCATTTTGTGAGTTTTATTTCATTCCTAAAGAAGGACAAATAAAATTCTTTTTGCTGAAAGAGTTTGAGATCATGGAAAAACTAATGATTGAGAGCCAAATGTGTGCACAAAACAATACTGTAAGGTAGAGGACAGGGCCCATTTGAGAAATATGCAACTGGAGGTTAATTTAAATGACTCCCCATATCACTAAGCAGATCAGTGGCAGAGTCAGGATTCAGGTCCAAGTCTATCTAATGCCAAAGACTCTGGTGCTTTCATCTAATCTGTGTTATGGTTTGAATACAAAATGTTCCCCAAAGGGTCATGACTTGAATGCTTTGTTCACAGTTGGGGTTGCACTATTTTGTGAGGTGGTAGAAACTGGTTGTGTGTCATTGGATGGTAATATCTGGTCTCCTGTCCCTTCTCTTTTCTTTGCTTCCTATCTGGATTGAGGCGAAGAAGCTCCACCTTATGCTTCTGCTTTAGAACCAAGATACCATGGACTAAACCCTCTGAGACCATGAGCAAAATAAATCATTCCTTCTTTAAGTTGCATCTGTTAGATATTGGTCACAGTTACATGAGAGAAGCTAACATACCATGTTTCCCAGAAGTGAGAGACAAGCTAGAGAATGTGAAATATATATTGTGATCTTCATGGGGAAGAATGTATTGTATGCAGCTACATATGTAAGTCACTGTTCCAGAACTAGAGCCTCTGTGACCACCATCTGTTTGTGGGGCTTCTGCTTTAGTGGAGGACACTAAACAGACAAGTAAAAACTTTAGTCATGCTCAGTGCTATAAAGAAAACTAAACATGATCAATAGAGAGAGGCTGAGGTGCCACTGGTGGTGGAGGTTGACCTTGCATTAAATGGTCAAAGAGGTCTTTTCTTCTTCTTTCTTCTCTTTCTTTGGCAGTATCAGGGTTTGAACTTAGGGCCTCATGCTTGCTAGGCCTGTATTCTTATCACTTAAGCCACTCCATCAGCCCTTTTTTATGATGGGTTTTTTTTGAGATAGGGTCTTGTGAACTATTTGCCAGGGGCTGACTTTGAACAGTGATCCTCCTGATCTCTGCCTCCTGAGTAGCTAGGATTATAGGTGTGAGCCACCAGCATCTGGCTACCTTTTGTTTTCTTGTTTTAAGAAATGTATTTATACCACTTTTACTTGTTGTAGTGCTACCATATGTTAAGATAATAAAGAGCAAAATGTCTTTCATCCTTAAGTTTGCAATACTAGTGTCTGTTTGCCAACTGACTACTTAGTTGTGACCATGTCATTATTCGTATTTCTTACTTCTAATTTTTACTCCTTTGTTTCTTTGCCAGTGCTTTTTCTGGGAAATGGAAGGTAAAAAAGAGAAGGCATGGTAGCCATTGAAGTCGGTTTATAGCTTGAATTTGAAAAGGAAGGGTTTAGTTTCCAAGCTTAAAATTATGCAACTCAAATGCCAGCTAAAGTTTAATGTGTCTTTTATTTACCTGGGCACCTTTGTAGCCAACCATGGTTCAAAATTGTATATACAGTTTTTCAGTGGGAGAAGTTATTGCCTGTTGCTGTCTTCCTGCTAATATTTCATGGGATATTTCATACCTACTCTGTATTAAGAGCTATTGTAGGGTGTGCAGGTTTGTATGAAGATGAAGTCATGGTCCTTGCCCTGGGGATCTTTGTCTACTGGAAGATACAGTTATATGCAAAAATTGTTCTAGGTACAATTGGTAAGATCTGAGTAGATGGATATATCATGTTCTAGGTGAGCAGAGAAGATGTTCTTTTTAAATTTATTTTTAAACTATAAGCATAAAAATTATACATATTAATAGAGAAAAGAAGTGCTATTTCACACATGTATACATTTAAATTAGGTTAAGCATATCTAGCTCATCATTTATCATTTCTTTATAGTAAAAACTTTCAAAATTCACCCATTTGGATTTTTGAAATCTGTAAGACATTATTACCTATCATTACCCTATTATACAACTAGCATGCCAGAACTTCTTACTCTTCTCTAAGTATAACTTAGTATCATCTTTCCCCTCCTTTGCTTATCTCCCTCCCTGCCACTGTCCCCAAACTCTGGTAACCACCATTCTACTCTTAAGTTACATGAAGTCAACTTTTAGATTCTACATTTGAGTGTCATCACATAGTGGTATGGTATTTCAACAGGTTGATATGGCAGCTGGGAATGGGACACTCCTAAGGAAGAGAATATGGAGTACACATAACTTAGGAAGAGGCTCTTTGGTATGACTGAAGTTCAGGTGGTACAAGAGTTACCAGAGTGTGGGGTAAAAGGAAGAGCAGAAGAGGTGATTATTTGAAGGTCATTTGCAGGAGTCTTTTGAGATACTTATAGAAGATGGAGAGCCATCCAAACATTAAGAGTCAGGGAAGAAGAACTATTTCAGGCAGTTCATTTTGTCAATGTGTGGGATAAGGTGGAGAGGGGAGATCTACAAGTCTACATGGGCTAAGTCAAATAATAGCAATGAGTGTAAATTCTTTCTGCAAAATTAAATAGGTGGGGGAAAGAGGACTTTAAGACAGAACAATACATTTTTAAAAACTCACATTTATTGAGCAAGCAAGATTAACATCTATTTGCAGCAAAATGGGGTCAGGAAGATCTACTTGATAGAGATGCAAGGACTATATAATACACAGAGCCAAGGGCAGCTTTCTTCTTTCTTCATCAGTTTTTAATAATTGTCTATTTATAATGTTACATTGATATAACATATATATAACAATGTTAAATAAATATATGTACTACATAGTAAATCTATATTTAATAATGCATATAATTATGACATTCTGTGTCTTATATACATATGTGGGAGTCATACACATGATTATATGTAAAATCATATACACATATATATAATATATGTGTAATATAATGAAATAGTAGAGGGATCTAGATATTTATAATTAGAATCCTAGTTTAAGGAGCTAGATTAAAGAAAAAAAAAGAACAAAGAGGTACAGCATCTCATGCTGTAATCCTAGGTACATGGTTTCAGGCCATTGTGGGCAAAAAGTTAGTGTGACCCCCATCTCAACTGATAAAAACTGGGCATGATGGCACATGCCTGTCATCCCAGCTACAGGAAGCATAAATAGGAGGATTTTGGTGCAGATTAACCTGGGCATAAACATAAGACCCTATTTGAAAACATAACAACAACAAAAACAGCTAATGGCATGGCTCTTGTGGTAGAGCACCTGTCTAGCAAGCACAGGGCCCTGAGTTCAAACCCCAGTCCCAGCAAAAAAGAAAAAGTAAAGACTGGAAATTGAAGAAACATGTTGACCTTCCTGCTGATTGTCAGCTAAGGACTTGAACTACCAGAATTCTTTTGACTTTGGTTGTATGTGTGTTCCTGTACTAAAGAAAAGAGAAACTAATAAATACATGTTTTAATATTGTTCTAGCAGTAGAAAAAGGATGTCCGTAATTGTCCGGACTCCTATGGGACAGCTCCGGCTCTACTGCAAAGGAGCAGTAAGTATTGGGATTCATTATTCACATGAACCCTTTCTCTCTTCATTCTGACAACTTGTCAGAAGACTTTCATGACCTCACAATATCGTTAAATGTTACTTTTTATCTGCTGTTGCCATCAGCTGTCAAGAGCATCATCTAGGACCAAAACCTCATTTCAAAGCAGCCAAAGAGCTTTTCCCCATAGCCAAAACCCTTTGAAATTGATGGTGGCTTGCATAAGAATGTTTGTTAAGCAGTGAAAAGTTCACTGTCATTTAATTGTTCTGTTGAGAACCAGTCATAAGCTTGTTGATGCTAAGGATTTATAGCAGGAATTTTGATCCCAGTTCCAACCCAAAATGTTTGGATTTGATGGATCTCATGAATTTCCTTTTGCTAGTCTAAAATTGTTCTTAAAGTTTTTGTGTTCACTATCATATATACTTTTTTAAAAAAAAATCAGCTTTATTGAGGTACAACAGATTTATTGAGGTAAAATGAGCTGCACATTTTTAATGTGTACAGTTTGATAAGTTTTGATCTTGATTTGCCTTCTGTCACATTATAGTTGTTTGCATTTGCTAAAATATATATATGAACTCATAAAGAATGTGTGAGTGGCTTCTTGCACTCAGAATCATTCTGAGACTCATTCATGTTGTAGCTATGTCAGTACTTCATTTTTTTGTGTTAATGTGTAGTGTCTTCATTGTATGCTGTATCAGTCTGCTTATCCTTTGCCTATTGGTGTATATTTTGTTTGTAGTTCTGGACTACTACAAATAATACTTTTATGAACATTTGTGTGCAAGTCTTTGGTTGGACATTTGGTTTCCTTTTTCTTGGACATGTATTTAGGAGTGAAGTGTCTGGATTACATAGCAAATGTATATTTAACTTTTTAAGAAACCACCAAACTGGTTACATTCCTACCCACAATCCCTGTCAACACTTGGCATGGTTAGTCTTTTAATTTCAGTCATTCTTATCATGCTGTATTTCATTTTGGCTTTTGTTTACATTTACATGTTGTGACATGATAGCTAGCATCTTTTGGTGTGTTTATTTGCCATTTGTGGCGGTGGTGCACAAGACCATCCCTATGTTCAGAGACTCACTAAGAAGACTCATGGGACTCATCATGCAGTTGTGCTCATGGCTAACATTTATGAGAATAGCACAGTAAAGATACACAGCCAGATCATAAAGCAGAAAGACATAGGCAGAGCCTGGAGGAACCCATTGAATCACAAAGACAAAGTTTATACCACCTTATTTAGTTTATTAGTTCCTGGATGCCTGCCAAGGGCCAACCTTGCAAGTGGGTATTTCCCTTGCAAGTATGGCTGCTGCATTAGCCTTTAATATTAACTCTTTCTTACACACTATCTATTAATTTCTTTGTGGGGAAATGTCTTCATAAATATTTGCCCTTCCTTATTTTTAAAAAAACCTTTATTTTTATTTTTTTTACTCCCCCCCAAGAAAACCCACAAAGCAATAAAAAAGAAATAAGCCTCTGTTGTAAACAAAGTCACTAAGATTTTAGTTACTTGTGGCCACTGTTTATTCTGACTTTTAAAAAATGGATTTTTTTTGGCAGTACTGAGGTTTAAACTCAGGACCTCATGCTTGAATTCTGATTGTTAGACACATTGCATCACAGGGCATAGAGCAGATGAGAACCCAAGTAGACAGGTTGAGAAAGATGAGGTAAGGTTGAGAAAGGGAGGGTAAGTTAGGTTTCTTCTTTTGTGTGTATTTCATATTCCCCTCCCCTGCCCATCTAGTCATTGAATAAACGCATACTCCTGTTAGCATTTTGTTTTTCTCTTTGTCTCATTGTTCTTTGTAAATTTTTTTTTCTTCTCGAGGAACTGGGATTTGAACTCAGGGCCCCATGCTTGCTAAACAGGCTCTCTACCACTTGAGCCACGCCACCAGCCCTTTTTTTGTGATGGGTTTTTTTTTTCGAGATTGGTCTCATGAACTATTTGCCTGTGATTGGCTTCGAACTTTGATCCTCCTGATCTCTGCCTTCTGATTAGCTAGGATTACAGGCATGAGCCACCAGCTCCCGGTTTACCTAGGGTTTTAATCTTGGTGCAGGGGGCAGGGAGTGGTCTGTGGTATGAGGTGGGATGGACATTTCCCCTCCCTTACCTCCTGCAGTATGGACAGCCAATTGTCCTCACCTGGACTGAGTGACGTGTAATGCTAATTTTAGCCACACCATTTCCATGCATATGTGGCTCAGTTTCTGGGGTCATTATCTTTTGATGGTTAGATCTGTGCCCAGGCTATACTGTGACTGCGTTATTTTAAGTTTTCATGGTTTGGGAGGACGAGGACCCCTTCTTATTCTCTTTTTTTTAATTCATTTATTCATATGTGCATACATTGTTTAGGCCATTTCTTCCCCTTTCCTCCTCCCTCCTCCCCACCCCCCTTGCTTCCAGGCAGAACCTGTTCTGCCCTTATCTCTAATTTTGTTGAAGAGAAGACATAGCATAATAAGAAAGACAAAGCATTTTTGCTAGTTGAGTTAAGGGTAGCTATACAGAGAGATTCCTAGCATTGCTTCTATGTACAAATGTGTTACAACCCAAGTTGAGTCATCTCTAACTGATCTTTACATTGGTTCCTGTTCCCCTTCTCCTGTTGACCTCTGTCACTTTAAGGTTTCTGTATTAGTTCCTCTGGAGTGGGGACATCAAACGCTTTCATGTTTTGGATTTTCTACCTATCCCCCTACCTCCCATATGTGCTCTCCTCTTGTCATGTGACCCAAGTCAAACAGCATTGCCATATTTGTCCTAGATCTAAAGTCTGCATATGAGGGAGAACATACGATTTTTGGTCTTCTGAGCCTGGCTAACCTCAATCAGAATGATGTTCTCTAGTTCCATCCATTTACTTGCGAATGATAAGATTTCATTCTTCTTCATGGCTGAGTAAAATTCCACTGTCTACAAATACCACATTTTCTTGATCTATTCGTCAGTAGTGGGGCATCTTGGTTGTTTCCAAAACTTGGCTATTGTGAATAGCACTGCAATAAACGTGAGTGTGTAGGTGCCTGTGGAGAGGCCAGTGTTGCATTCCTTTGGGTATATCCCCAGGAGTAGGATTGCTTGATCATATGGCAGATCTATGTTTAGATTTTTAAGAAGCCTCCAGATTTTTTTCCAGAGTGGTTGCACTAGCTTGCATTCCCACCAGCAGTATGCAAGGGTTCCTTTTTCCCCACATCCTCACCAAAACCTGTTGTTGGTGGTGTTTTTCATGATAGCTATTCTAACAGGGATGAGGTGGAATCTTAGTGTGGTTTTGATTTACATTTCCTTTATGGCTAGAGATGGTGAGCATTTTTTCATGTGTTTTTTTGTCATTTGAATTTCTTCTTTTGAGAAAGTTCTGTTTAGTTCACTTGCCCATTTCTTTATTGGTTCATTGATTTTAGGAGAGTTTAGTTTTTTAAGTTCCCTGTATATTCTGTATATTACAGAATTCTGGATATTTGTATAGCTGGCAAATATTTTCTCCCACTCTGTGGGTGGTCTCTTCAGTTTAGAGACCATTTCTTTTGTTGTGCAGGAGCTTCTTAATTTTATGACGTCCCATTTGTTCATCCTTTCTCTTAGTTTCTGGGCTGCTGGGGTTCTATTGAGGAAGTCCTTGCCTATACCTATTGCTTCCAGAGAATTCCCTGCTCCTTCCTGTACTACCTTCAGAGTTTCATGTCTGATATTAAGGTCCTTGATCCATTTTGAGTTGATGCAAGTACAAGGTGATAAACATGGATCTAGTTACAGTTTCTTGCAGACGGATAACCACTTTTCCCAGCAACATTTGTTGAAGAGGCTGTCTTTTCTCCATCGTATATTTTTGGCACCTTTGTCAAAAATAAGGTGGGTATAGTTGTGTGGATTCATATCTGCGTCCTCTCTTCTGTTCTACTGGTCTTCATGTCTGTTTTTGTGCCACTACTGTGCTGTTTTTATTGCTATTGCTTTGTAATATAGTTTGAAGTCTGGTATTGTGATACATCCAGCATTGCTCTTTTTGCTTAGTATTGCCTTGGCTATTCATGGTCTCTTGTATTTCCATGTGAACTTTAGAGTAGGTTTTTCAGTCTCTGTGATGAATGTCATTGGGATTTTGATGAGAATTGCATTAAACATGTAGACGTATAATGTATAGTATAGCCATTTTTACTATGTTGATTCTACTAATCCATGAGCATGGAATATCTTTCTAACTTCTGTAGTCTTCCTCGATCTCTTTCTTCAGGGATTTGTAGTGTTCCTTGTAGAGGTAATTCACATCCTTTGTTAAGTTTACTCCTAGGTATTTGATTTTTTTTGAGGCTATTGTAGATGGAATTGTTTCCATATACTCCTTTTGAGTTTGTTCGTTGTTGGTGTATAGAAAAGCTAATGATTTTCCTAAGTTGATTTTGTATCCTGCCACCTTGCTGTAGTTGTTTATGGTGTCTCAGAGTTTTTGGGTGAAGTTTTTTGTGTCTTTAAGGTATAGGATCATGTCATCTGCAAATAGGGATATTTTGACACTTTCTTTACCTATTTGCATTCCTTTTATTTCTTCTTCTTGCCTTACTGTTCTGGCTAGGAATTCCAGTACTATGTTGAGTAGCAGTGGGGATAGTGGGCATCCTTGTCTCGTTCCTGATTTTAGGGGGAATGGTTTCAGTTTTTCACCATTAAGTATGAGGTTGGCTGTAGGTTTGTCATATATAACCTTTACAATGTTGAGGTACTTTCCTTCTATTCCTAGTTTTCATAGAGCTTTTATAATGAAGTGTTGGATCTTGTCGAAGGCTTTTTCTGCATCTATTGAGATGATCAAGTGGTTTTTGTCTTTGTGTCTATTAATGTGCTGTATTACATTTATAGATTTATGTTGAACCACCCCTGCATCCCTGGGATGAAGCCGACTTGGTCGTGGTGAATGATCTTTCTGATGTGTTGTTGGATTGGTTTGCTATTATTTTATTG